GGGTCCCAAGGCTTTGGGCCGTCCTCGACTGCTTTCCCGGGCCACAGGCAGGGAGCTGGATGGGAAGTGAGGCTGCCGGGATTAGAACCTGCACCCATATTGGGCTCCTGGGCGTGCAAGGCGAGGATCTTAACCACTGCGCCACCGCGCCGGGCCCAACTGAGCATCTCTTAAAGCACCACAACTCAACCCAGGATATCAGCCGCCAGGGCTCAGCTCAAATTCTAATTCCTCCTTAAAGGGCTGCTTAATATCGCAACCCAACCTAAGCTCTTGGTGGGCTTTCCCCCTCCAGATGGGAGGAACACACCGAATGATCTAGGTATTTTTGTCTATGTTTTGTAATCATCCTCTTGGGATGTGAGCTGATCCAGAGAGCCTCCTTACCTTGGACACGCTCTCTGCTCACTGAGTGCGGTGGTACAAATAATGGGCTCACGTTCTGCTTCTGAAATTTCAGTGAACTAATTGAACAAACATCTGTCGAGCATCCACCAAGAACAAGCCCTGTCTAGTCCCCAGGCACACAGCTTGGAATACCACAGACTCCCTGGCCCACATGCGTCGGTCGTTATCTCCCACAGGCGAGAGGAGGACAAAACAACAAGGCCAATACGTCAGACAAGCGGCACAGCCTGCAGTGCGGTCCTGGGCTGCCACGAAAGGCAGTTTACGAAAACAGAAATTAGGGGTCAGCGTTGGGGCAGAGTGGATTAAACTGCTGCCTATGACAATAGAATACTGCGTGAATGCCCAGTTCGAGCCCCACTTCTGCCCTTGCCGTCTAGCTCCCGGCTAATGCACCTGGGAAGGTAGCGGAGGTGCCAAGTGCTTGGACTCCTGCCTCCCACGTGGGAGACTCAGAGCTCCAGGTTCCCGGCTTCGGCCTGGCTGAGGCAGTCATTTGGGGAGTGAACCATTGAATGGAAGATGTCTCTTCATATCTGACTTGCAAATAAAAATAAATTTTTTAAAAAGCAAAAAGACAAACAGAACTGTATTTTCTCACTATGATTGAGGACACAGTCTGCACTCAAGACTGGGCCGTCGGCAGGGCCAGCATGCGCACTGGACTGCGAGACTGTCCCTCAATCCTTCACCTGCAGGCTGTCTGCCAGCAATTCCAGACTCTTCTGGGCTTGTGGCTGCTCCGGTCCAACAGTTCTGCCTCCGTGTGCACAGGGACCCACATGTGTCCTGTGTCCTCCCAGCAGCGTATGGGGTTAGAGGCCTGCCTCGACTCTAAGTAGCCTCATCTGACCTGATGATATGTGCCACTGAGGACGTGACAGGTAATGGAGCAGCTAAGGACAAAGTTCTCATGAGGTCAGCAATTGGAAGGGTGCAGCAGGTGCACATGCCAAGGGCCCAATGGACGAGAGAAACCCCCTCACATCAGCACCTGCCCCCGTGTCTCCAAGCCGGAACCACTACCAAACTAATGCTGTTATCGTGTCTACCCTGCCCTTATGAGCCGCCTCTGAAAATACTTTTTGGTGGAAATAGCTTATATTAAAAAAAAAAATCTTGCTTTATAGAATGATACTCGGGGCTCAAATTGCAAATCTTCGTTGGCCAAGTGAGTACCAGTTTCTTTAGTCACCAGCTTCTTAGTTCACGAGGGTCACGTGGCGAGGAACGGGCACTGGGAGGGCAATCCTACTGGGAGGAGACGAGTTTCCTCTGCAACCCAGAGCGGAGCCGGGCAGAGGATGACCGCTCCCTTCAGCTGGGCGCTGGGACAGGCCCTGTGCCCACGGGCTGGAGGCTGTTATGCCCTGGGAGTGAACAGCTCCGTAACTGGGAGGTCAAGGCCCTCGGGCGTCACAGAGGAATTTAAATTGTTTTTCTGTGGCTCATTTCCTGGTTTCTAAGTGCAGCGATTACCAGGGAGGAGCCTGAGGTGTGGTCGTCCTGGGAAGCCAAGAATCTTTCCGCTGCATCCAGTGTGTGCTGCCCGCTGGGCACCACTGTGGCACTGACCCAACAAAACTCATGGGAAAACGAGGAGTTAAAATTTACTTTGGAGGAAGGTGGTGTTGTGGATTGCCAAGTAAAGCCACCGCCTGCAGCACCGGCATCTCCTATGGGTGCCAGTTCCAGTCCCGGCTGCTCTGTGTCCAACCCAGCCCCCTGCTAATGCACCAGGAAAGCACAGGCTAGGGCCTGGCACAATGGCTCACTGGCTACATCCTCACCTTGGAAGTGCTGGGATCCCAGTTCATGTCCCAGCTGTTCCACTTCCCGTCCAGCTCCCTGCCTGTGGCCTGGGTAAGCAGTGGAGGATGGCCCAAAGCCTTGGGACCCTGCACCCGCGTGGGAGACCCAGACCAAGGAGACACAACTTAGTGGCTTCACAGCCAGGGGGTATTGCTGAGGTTCCTGGTTCTGTCCATTCACCATGGAACATTCTAGTTCTGAGCTGCCCACACTCTGCTATCGAGAGTATGGAAGTGACTGACTCCCTTAGGTTTCTGGGAAACTTTGGCCCTGTCTCATAGCCTTTTCTTTTTTAAATATTCCTTTAAAAGTTGAAGAGTCCTGGGGAACAGCACAGCAGCCTAGCGGCTAAAGTCCTTGCCTTGCATGCACCAGGATCCAATATGGGCGTTGGATGGTCCAAAGCTTTGGGACCCTGCACCTGCATGGAACAGGCTCCAGGCTCCTGGCTTCATATCAGCTCAGCTCTAGCTGCTGCAGCCACTTGGGGAGTGAATCAACGGAAGGAAGTTCTTCCTCTCTGTCTTTCTTCCTTTCTGTATGTCTGACTCTCCAATAAAAATTTTAAAAATCTTAAAAAGTTGAAGAGTCCTGCTTAGCCCCAGGCCACACCAGGGGCAGACTGCAGAGGTGGTGTTGTGCCAGGGCTTGATTCCGAGTGCAGCTCTTGGTGGAATCCCTCAGCACTGGCATTGAGTGTGGCAGCAGCCCCAATGAGTTTTAATTTTATTCTTATTATTATCGTTATTATGAGTGAAAGGGAGACCTTTGGTTTGCTGGTTCATGCAGTCAGATGCCACAAGGGCTGGGACTGGACCGGGAACCAGAACCCCAAGCAGGTCTCCCACGCAGGCAGGCCCTCAGCCAGCCTGCCAGCCTCAGCTGAGTGAGCCTCTGGGGGCTCAGCAGCGTCACCGACACTTGCACCTGTTAGGCACTCAGAGGGGCAGCAGATAATCAATGCTACTTCACCAGTTCCACACGAGCCATGTGTGTGCCCCCAGCACCCCTCGTGGAACCTGGGCCAACTTCCTGAGGATGACCCCAGCTTCACCCCCCGTGCAGGTGTGAGTCTTATCTGAAGGGTGAATTCCTAGAAGTGGAATTGCTGAGTCACAGCAATAAGCCAGGCTGTGACCCCGGAATGAGGGTGAAGGGGTTGGTGGGGAAGAGGAGAAAAGTGTCCCGGGTAGAGGAACCTGCACAGACCAGGGTGCCGGGACTGTGAAACGGACTGTCCCCAGGTGCTGGGCACTCGTCCAGGAACGGTGACAGACGGTGTGCAAGGGAGGGCGGTGAGGGAATGTGGCCAGGTGTCTGCATGGGTAGGCTGGGGACGCTGGGATCCACAGAAGGGAGGGCCAGGTCAGCCAGGGCGAGGAGACTAGATGCGGGGAGGCAGGGAGGAGCCTGGGGCTGAAGGTGTCCGAGGGAGGGGCTTCTGAGTGCGGGGTGCTCAGTGTGGCCAGGTGTCTGCTCGCGCGGTACAGAGGGGATGATGCGTGGTCATGCCACACACGCCGCTCAGCTTGCGCCTACCACCTCCCCGACGCTGCCAGGCGCACAGTGCAGCCCTTCCGCCCAGCAGTGCCCACTCGGCCTGTCCCTCGCCAGCACCTCCCTGTCCCCTGGGATAGGCCTTTGAACTCTCACGGCCACCACCCCACCCACGCCGAGATGCGCACCGCAGCAGGCAGGCGTGGGAGCGTCCCCAGCCACCTGGCCGCAGGGTCGTGAGGACCGGATGGTGCAGAATCTCACCACCCAAACGCAAAACCGGTTCTGCGCCCTGCTGTTTCTTGCCGCACACCTGGGCCTCACAGCTCCTTCCAGGCGGCAAATACCAGCCCCTGGCTGGCGGACTGACGGGAAATGGCCACGGGGAAAAGACTCAGCAGGTGCACGCCGCAAAGGACAGGCGCCTGGCCACGGTGGACGGCGTGGGCGGCTGGAGCGTGACCGCGCTCTAGTGGTCGAGCAGCCCCATTACACCCTGAGGGATCTTCGTCCCCAGTAACTCCCACTCAAGTCAGGTCTAATGTAATGGGGTGAGAAGCACTGAATACCTTCTATACGCTGGGCCAGCGAAGCGATGTTCAATCAAAAGACAAAGGGGGGCTCAGACGGAATTTCAAATTTTCTGAGAGCCACATTAGAACAGTAAAATAGGGGTCCCATATTGAGGTGCAGCAGATTAGTGCCCCATATCAAAGTAAGGGTTTAAATCTCGGCTGCTCACGCGCCTGGGAGAGCAATGGAGGATGGCCCAAGTGCCGGGTCCCCTGACACCCACGTGGGAGACCCTGATGGAACGCCAGCTCCGACTTTGCCTGGCTGTTGTAGCCATTTGGGATGTGAACCAGCAGGTGGAAGATTCTCTCTATCTCTAATTCTGCCTTTTAAATAAATAAAAATTTTTCTTTGTTTAGAAAAGGCATGGCAAAGCTGGCACGGTGGCCTACTGGCTAATCCTCTGTCTGCAAGTGCCAGTATCCTATATGAGCGCAAGTTCGTTCTCCCTTTGCTTCAGTTCTGTATTCACAGCCTAGAGCTGGGGTCCTGTACCCAGCGGGTGCTCCCTGGGTTGTGGCATGAACGAGTGCCAATGCGAGTTTCTCTTGGGGAACTGCAGCAGCACCTGGCACAGACTGAGCATGCTTTAAGTAGGTGCCCACCCCGGACTTCCTCCCAGGTTCCTGGGCCTCGAGGCCCCGCCCCGTGCCTGGGGGCGTGCCCGGCCGGGCGGGGTCTCAATGATGTCACAAGGGGCCCCCTTCGCCATGCCTCTGGCCTGGACTCTCCTGCTGCTCTGGGGCCTGGGCGGCCCCGGCAGCTGGGGCTGTCTGCAGTGTGACCCCTCGGTGGTGGATGCCCTGAGCCAGCTGCGCCGGGCTCTCATCCCCAAGCACTTCCACCAGGAGCAGCTGCGGGACCGCGCTGAGGCCCTGCTGCTGGGCATGGAGGGTCCCTTCTTCCGGGACTATGCATTCAATGCCTTCGTGGGGAACGTGGGTGCGTACTGGAGGTGGGAGGGCAGAGACACGGGGTCACGCCCCCCCCCAGGTGAGGAAGGCGGGGGTCCCTGGGCAGACCTCACTCTGGTTCCCTGCAAACCTTCCAGGGATGCAGCAGCTGAAGGAAGTGGCCAGCTTCGTCAAGAATCAAATGCAACACTTGATGGTGACTGCCCTGGAAGGTAGCAGCGCAGCCTGCCCCTCCCTACACCCACCTCCATGCCTGCCAGGGCTCTGAGGCCAAGGGGAGAGAGAGGGGGAGAGAGAAAGAGCGAGAGCACAAGCTTGCTGTTTCTCGGCATGCCCGCCAGAGTCGGGACTGGGCATGGAGCTCGGACCCGCATCCAGGTCTCCAAAAATCCAGGATTCCTCAGGGCAGAGTCCAAAGGAGGAGCCAGGCCCCTGGGTGACAGGGACCCAGCTGGGAAGCCATCAGCTGCTCTGGCAGGAAGCCGGGACTCGCATTTGGCTACTCTGAGGACAGCGACCCAAGCCACATCGAATGCCCAACAAAGTACACCTGGCACCTCCGGCCATTCCAGGTGCCCCAGGGTCATGGCAGGCTGCCTTGCGGCCACCCAGACAGTGCCAAGGCCTGGAGGTCCAGTGGAAGTCAGGAAGCAGCCAGCATGGACAGTAAGGAGACCACGGCCGAGGCTGTTGGGTTAGGGGAGGAGGGAACAGAGGCGGTGACTGATCAGGCATTCCTCGAGGCCCACCCACGCTCAGTGTATCCACCGGGGGCCAGAAGTCTCTCCGGGGTCAGAGTTGGTTCAAGGTCAGCATAATTTCTGTAGACTTGTTGAGTCTCCTGAACTGAAAACCTGAACTCCAGATGGTATAGGATTAAGCATTGCAGGCCCCAGTGTCTGAGCCCCAATGGCTCAGTTGTCTAATCCTCACCTTGCGAGTGCTGGGATCGTGTCCCAGCTGTTCCCCTTCCCATCCAGCTCCCTGCTTGTGGCCTGGGAAAGCAGCAGAGGACGGCCCAAAGCCTTGGGACCCTGCACCCGTGTGGGAGGCCTGGAAGAGGCTCCTGGCTGTGGATCGGTTCAAGTCTGGCTGCTGTGGCCACTTGGAGAGTAAACCAGCGGACGGAGGATATTTGTCTCTCCTTCTCTCTCTAAATCTGCCTTTCCAGATTCCACCTGGGTTTGTCCCAGAGTGGGGCTGGGGAGGGATGCTGAGCCCCCCGTCCCAGACAGGCATGGGGGAAGCACTGAGCAGCCTCTGGGTGTCGCCATCCCCTAGGCAGGGGGGCTGTGGACAGGGTGGGGCTTTTGTCCCCTCTCTCCTTCAGGCGAGCTGCTTCTTGATGAGCTGGTGAAGCTGAGAGAGATCATGCTGAAGGAACTCAAGAAGGCCTTGCGCTCGTACGAACTGAAAGGTGCGGCCTCACTCACCGCCCTTGTCTCCGCTGATGTGCCCGAGCCCGTCACCCCAATATTCTTTCCTCCCCTTTCTCCCCCAGTTTTACCTGCTCTGCTCCTCTCTCTGTCCCATTGCAGTCTCCAGTGGGGATCCCAACCTGGCTCACTCCGGCTCTGCTCTCTTACAGCCTGTGATCGCATAGTTTGCCGTGAGTCCTCAGGGTCTTGTCTGCTCCTTGCCTTCCTTCACCTGTGACCGCCTCTTCTCCATCGCAAGCCCAGCTGCAGCTGGCCTACCCCAGAGCTGCAGCACCCAGGGCGGGGTTTTGACCTGTGACAACTTCTTCCAGCGGTTGTGACTTGCAAAACGTTGTGTTGGGGAGGATTCAGAGTTGGGCTAGAACAGACTGTTACACTAACAAAACACCTCCAGGTCCCGCAAAATGGAATTCTCTCACATGCATGCATGTTTCGTTGAATATCTAGCAGCTTTTCCAAGCGGTGACCTGGGGATCCATGTCAGACCCAAATCCCTGCTTGTGAACTTCCATAGGGAAAGAATGTTGGGAGTGACCCTAAGCTTCTGATGCCCAGGCCAAGAAGTGATGAGTATCATGGTCCCGGCTTTCCCTGGGCTAGTAGGTCACATGGTCAGCATCCTGTTGTAAGGGAGCTTGGGAAATGTAGTCTTCCTGTGGATGCAGGAAGTGGCAGAGATGGATGGTGGCTTGACCATCGCTGCCTTGGGGAGCTCCAAATTTGGAAAAGAGAACTCGGAACTAACCAGTATTTCAGGGCTTACATCATGGGAGTTGCTGCTGCGTTTTGTTCAATTTGCTCCGCAGTTCAGGAGGGCCCCCATGTGATCTCAGGTCTTCTTTCCTCGTCTTCCGTCCCTGGCACCTTACTTCATGCTCTCCCTTCGGCCAGGCCTGTTAAAAGAAGAGGTCATGGACTGTTTGCGTTGCCAGAAAACGGTTACCAAATGTATCAAGAGAAAACAATGCTTCGGTAAGCCTGGTGGGGGTGGGTGGAGAAGGCAGGCATGGCACCGGGGTGAGGGGAAGGCACACAGCTGTGACCCCGTAGGTCTGGAGCCCTCCGCTAAACACTCGAGTCTTGAATTCTTGCCATCCATGCACCGTGTGGCCTGGGGGCTCCATAATCTCGCCGATGACTGACTGGGAATCACCGTACCCTGTGCTGCGTCCATGCGGTGCCCTCTCGCAGCCACGCTGTTCCCCTCACTCCCTCGTGTCCTCAGAGACCACCTGCCCTGCGAGGCCTCCCTGAGCACATGCTCGTTTTCTACCGAGCAAGGTGAACAAGGATCATTCGTTTTGCTTCATTTATTTTGGACCATCGTGTTTGCAGAAAAACTGTAGTTTTTCTTTCCCGAGATGGCCGCAGCGCAAACCTCACACCCAGAGGCCCTAATAACGACTCCTCGATATTAAATCATTCCCCGTCCCCCTGGCAAGTTCCCACATTGTTCCTAGAACATGTTGCATGGCTGATGTGTTCAAATCAGAATTTTTAAAAAAAAGACAAACTTCTCATACCCTTTCACTGTTAGATGACTTTCACTTGGGTGACAGGAAGCAAAGTTGTCCTTAGCTGAGAACAACTGTGTTCCAAAACATGAAAGGAGGGGAGAACAATGTTTTTTTTAAAGATTTTTTTTATTACAAAGTCAGATATACAGAGAGGAGGCAAGACAGAGAGGAAGATCTTCCATCTGATGATTCACTCCCCAAGTGACCACAACAGCCAGTGCTGTGCCCATCCGGAGCCAGGAGCCAGGAACTTCCTCCAGGTCTCCCACACAGGTGCAGGGTCCCAAGGCTTTGGGCTGTCCTCGACTGCTTTCCCAGGTCACAGGCAGGGAGCTGGATGGGAAGTGGAGCTGCCGGGATTAGAACCGGCGTCCATATGGGATCCCGGAGCATTCAAGGCGAGGACTTTAGCAACTAGGCCGCCACTGGGCCTGGGAGAACAATTTAATAAATGGTGTCGGGCCCGGCGCAGTGGCACAGTGGTTAAGGACGGTCGAGGACGGCCCAAAGCTTTGGGACCCTGCACCCGTGTGGGAGACCTGGAGAGGCTCCTGGCTTCGGATCGGCATAGCATCAGCCATTGCGCTCACTTGGGGAGTGAATCATAGGACGGAAGATCTTCCTCTCTGTCTCTCCTTTCTGTATATCCGCCTTTCCAATAAAAATAAAATAAGTCTTTAAAAAAAATAGTTTAATAAATGGTGTCATGTGGGGCGGTGGAGGGGCACCGTGCTAGCTTAGTGAGTGACCATCAAGACTGGAAGGAATGGAGGGGGTGCTGGGAATGGTGTGATAAGTGCAAAGATCCCACATGAGTAAGCAGCGAGGAGGAGGAAGATGGTGAGTGAAGTAGGAGAGCAGGGACACTGGGCACGCTGGGACCAGAGCACTGGGGACTGTGTGGACTCGAGGAGGAACCTCAGGTGCTCCAGTGCCATCTTGCGGTCTCGTGAGGAACTGCAGCATGCCACTTGGGCAGCCCAGGAGGTAACTTAAAGCTGGCACTTTGCAGTGTTGCTGACCAAATGCAGGAGCTGAGGCCACAAGGAAGATCAAAAATGGGTCGTGCAAAGCCACCTTCAGGGTTGGCAGCTGAGGTGCAGTTCGTTTTCCCATCCCTCCCCACTGCACAGTACCCTGTCTTCCCCGTCTCCCACCAGATAAGACGCTGTTGGCACTGGCTCTTGGCTGCCCCCCACTCCCTTCCCCAAGGACATGTTGGGGACACACTGTCTCCACCAGCAAGCAAGTGTATTCATCAGCTGGGTTCATGACTATACTCCGAAGCCCTGAGGTCTGAGACCCAGTGCTGAGGGACAGGCAAACAGGGGCAGACAGACCCCAAGGGGAGTCAGAGGAGAACCCGGCCCTGCCCCAGGCCGCTGCAGGAAGAGTCAGGGGCAGGTGCAGAGCGGAGGCTGGGAGCTCAGAGCTGTCTCTCCCTGCCAGTCGATGGGCAGCCGCGCATGGCCCTGCACTATGAGACGGACACTGGGTACCCGAGGAGCCAGGCCCTGGTGGGCATCGTGGTTTCAGTGTCGCTCGCAGTCCTTGTCTTCTCGGTCATCCTCATCTCGTAAGTTCCCTCATCCCTCCCCCATGGCACACCTCCCTGAGACTTCTCCCCAAAACAACCCCTCTCTGGGTGGGGGTGTCCCTTTGTCCTGGAATGCACAAATGGAAGAGCAAAGGCAACTTCATCATGACCTTACAGTCATGCATGACCTGCAGTGGCACCTGCTTTCCTCTGAGCCTCAGCCGCAACCTCTCTGCTCTTGCTGTGGCCCCTGCACCCCTTTTCCCTGATGTCAGTGTTTCCGCATTCTCAAAAGGGGGGACAGTACCAGCGTCACCCTCGCAGTCCGCCCCCTTCCCTCGTGGGCCAACTCTGATGGGCTTCAGAACCCCGCCCAACATCTAACCTCTCGGCTTTTCCTCTTGGACCAGGGCCTGCACGTACAGGTGGAACCGAAAATTGCTGCTGCGTTAGGCCTGCGGTCTGCCGGCTTTGTAAGCGGAAAGGAAATGTTTAATAAAGTCTGTGATTAGTTCCTCAGGTTGTCAGGCTCCTGGGTGCATGTTTGCTCTCCCCAAATGGCTACAAACGGTCAGGGCTTGGTCCAGGCTGAAGCCAGGAGTGTCCTCCGGGTCTCCCACGTGGGTGTAGGGTCCCAAGGCTTTGGGTTGTCCGCTGCTGCTTTCCCAGGACACAAGTAGGGAGCTGGATGGGAAGTGGAACAGCTGGGATTCGAACTAATGTCCCTGTCGGATGCTGACGCCGCCCACCGAGTGCTTCAACCTCCGCTTCCTGCGCATGCGTGCAACTGTCGGTTGGTTGAAACGTTTTAAAGCCCGTTACTTAGCGAACAGCCCTAGTGCATGCGCAGTCGAGCGCGCGTGGGAGCCGAAGCTTCAATCTCTGACGTCGAGGTGACTTCCTGCCCAAAGGGTTCTGGGAATTGTAGTTTCCTCCCTCAGCCTGTGCAGCCGCATCTTCCTACTCTCTCCGAAGCCGCCTTTCCCTCCCGCTGTCTCAGAAAGTTCTACGAGAAACAGGCATCCATCTCTGAATTTTCTCATCTGCTGCTCCTCTTTCCGTCACTTCGAGCGTCCCTCTGCGAAGAGGAAACTCCAGTCTGTCAGGGATGTGGCCCAGCGACAGGGACGCCAGTCGCCATGGCGACGGTCCCTCCGGCGTGACGTCATCGCTTTGCGCGGGCCGGGGGCGTGGCCACTGGCAGCCACCTGTGCCTGTTAGCGCGCCAGGCGCTCGCCAAGGAAGTTAGGATTCCTAAATTAATGGCCCTAAAATGCTTTTTGCTTGGACGGCAGAAAGCAGCGATGTGTTTGCATTTGGGGAGACTTTTTTTTTTTTAATCTTTTTCTTTGTTTCAATCTCTTGGCTCCAGAGGTTCAGACACTACCTTAACTTGTTGGGACTTTCTGGGAAGAAACGTACCATAAAACGGGTAATGAAAGCTGTGCATCCATGACAGTGTGAAGTGCGCTCAGTCTGGGCGGGGAGGCAGTTATTAGCCATGTGAGACTCCCGAGCAAGGCGTTGTGAAATCTGGCTGATCCCTGAGAAAGGGGTGTTTTCCAAAGGAAATAGTGGAGCAGAAGGCAGAGGGAGCAGGCAAGAAAAGGCTGAACGGCGGGAACTCTGAGCTGGCGCTCACTGGTTAGCTCTGCTCTGTGCAGCAGTGACCCCGGGACACCCGCTCTTGGCCCTCAGCACTCGGGGAGATACCCGGGGTCGTCGTCCAGGGCTGGAACTGCGGTCACCCTTTGCCTCTTGCCTGGGGCAGGTGAACTAACGCCCGAGCTGAACTCACAGGGTGTCTGGCTATACGGCCTTGTTCACTGGTGCTTTAGTGGGGTTTGTAAAGTGCTTGTGTGGGTGTTGCCAGCCAGGCCTGTGAAAACACCTTTGACATGGTGGTAGCAGCATAGAATTCCAGGACAGCTGGGAGCGGAGTGTTGCCAGTGCCAACCCCGCCGGTCCCGGTGGAGAACACAACGAGGATGTTATCGCTAAACAGCCAGCTGTCCTGTTTCTGGCGGCCATGATCCCAATAAAGAAAACCAAGCCAGGTGCAGAGTGGGCTGAGGGCAAAATGGCAGGGAAAGTAAAATCTCTCAGGCGAAGTGCCCAAAGTCAAACCATTGTTGGCAATCCGAGAAAGCGCCCATCCACCAGTTCATGCCCCAGAATGCACCCCACACCAAAGCTGAAAGTGGGAAACTGAACACAGATCTGCCGGGTGTGGGAAACCCATTCACTGGAGCCGTCACCACTGCCCGGCAGGGTCTACACTAGCAGCAAGCTGGAGACAGAAGCCAAACCCAGTGTCTAATACGGCATGCCGGTGTGGTAGCCTGCATCCTGGCCACCAGCTGGACACCTTAGGGGTGGGTCTCTCTATAGAAAATCTAGTCATTTACAAAAATTATTTACTTATATTGTAAAGTCAGATATACAGAGAGGAGAGACAGGAAATTGCTGCATCCAATGATTCACTCCCCAAGTGACTGCAATAGTTGGAGCTGCGCTGATCCAAAGCCAGGAGCCCAGATACTTTTCTCCAGGTCTCCCAGGTGCAGGGTCCCAAGGCTTTGGGCCATCCCGTTTCCCCAGACCACATGCAGGGAGCTGGATGGGAAATAAGGCTGCCAGGATTAGAACCGGCACTCATATGGGATCCTAGTGCATGCAAGGTTAGGACTTGGGCCACTAGGGCACTGTGCCGGACTCGAAAATCTACTCATTTAAAAAAAAAGATTTTAATTAGTGCCTAAAGTCCTTGCCTTGCATGTGCTGGGATCACAAATGGGTACCAATTCTAATCCCAGCTGCTTAGCTTCCCATCCAGCTCCCTGCTTCCGCCCTGGGAAAGCAGTCGAGGATGGTCAAAAGCCTTGGGACCCTGCACCTGCCTCGGAGACACGGAAGAAGCTCCTGGGTCCTGGCTTTGAATCAGCTCAACTCTGGTCTTTGCCGTCATTTGGGGAGTGACTCAGCAGACAGAAGATCTTTCTGTCTCTCTTCTCTGTATGTCTGACTTTCCAATAAAAACAAACAAATAAACCTAAAATCTAAAAAACCCAAAATATCTATAAAAATACAAATTTTATTCCTTTGAAAGGCTGAGTTAGAGAGACACATCTTCCATCCGCTGGTTCACTGCAAAAGTGGCCACAACAGCTAGACTGTGCCAATCTGAAAGCAGGAGCCAGGAGCTCCATCCAGGTCTCTCACGTGGGTGCAGAGTCCCAAGGCTTTGGGCCGTCCTCCACTGCTTTCCCAGGCCACAGGCAGGGAGCTGGATGGGAAGTGGAGCTGCCAGGATTCGAACCAGTGCACTTATGGCATGCCTTTACTTGGAATTGGAGAATTAGCCAATTGAGCTGTAGCACCAGGCCCTAACTTTTAATTCGTTTCTATCTATCTGTCTGTCTATCTATGCATCTATCCATCTACCATCTATCCCAAAAGCAGGGAGAGATCTATCAGCTGGTTCATTCCCCAAGTGCCTGCAACAGCCAGGACTGGGCCAGGATGAAGCCAGGAGCCAGCAGACAGGGTATGCTTCAGAAGGAAGCTGGGCCGTACGCCAGGCACTGGGATGTAGGATGCGGGCATAACCCTCGAGCTTGGCGCAACACCCTGGTTCTTTGGAAGGCTGGCTAAAACAGGAAGGTCCTGATGGTTGCTATGGGAACAGGTGGTGGGTGGAGCAGGCCCTTAGGTGGGCGCTCACTATGACTTCATCAGGAAATGTACCACCTCTCAAGGTCAATGATGGAGGAGGGCCAACATTCCTTACTGTATTAGGGCCCAAGTGAAGCCAGAGCCATAGCTACGTCAAAACGGGTTTAAAGCTTTTGTTCTTGCAGCTCACCTGCTATTTTCTCTTCCCCGCAGTCCTGTCCGCTCCTTCTTGCCCATCCGTGGGGCAGAAGAGAGGCCCGAGAGCGAACTTCCCTTTGTTTGATGTAGGCTTGTATGTACTCAGCCGGTATTTTCCTTTCACGGGTAGTTAATTAATCTAACAGTTCCGTTTCTGTAATTTTTTCAAATAAATACATAATTATTTAATATGGGATATGTGTGTGTACATGCGCTTGTGGTGCCAGTACAGCCAGGCATTTTCCAACGAATTGGGAACATTTCCCTCCAGATACAAAGCAAGTTTTTAAAAATTTAGTTTCTCTTGGGCCTGGAGGCGTGGCCTAGCGGCTAAAGTCCTCGCCTTGAACATGCCAGGATCCCATATGGGCACCAGTTCTAATCCCGGCAGCCCTGCTTCCCATCCAGCTCCCTGCTTGTGGCCTGGGAAAGCAGTCAAGGACAGCCCAAAGCCTTGGGACCCTGCACCCGTGTGGGAGACCTGGAGGAAGTTCCTGGCTCCTGGCTCCAGATTGGCACAGCACTGACCATTTCACTCACTTGGGGAGTGAATCAGCAGACAGAAGATCTTCCTCTCTGTCTCTCCTTCTCTCTATATATCTGACTTTGCAATAAAAATAATACATCTTTATGAAAAAAAAATTAGTTTATCTCGCCCCACACTGAATGCCCAGACTCCATCTCCCAGCATTCACCCTCACCCAGAGGCCTCTGCTTCACGAGGGTGAGAACCACAAATGGCTTCTAGCGGATACGGTCCAGCTGTGGTGTCCTGATACAGCGATACGGTCCAGCTGTGGTGTCCTGATACAGTGATACGGTCCAGCTGTGGTTTCCTGATACAGTGACTGCACAGGTGCGTTCCCCAGGCAGCCAGAATGGAATCCACCTGGGACTGAGTCCAGAGGCGGTGGTCTGGCCTGGAGCAGGTGGATGTGGACCGGGCTAGGCAGGCCCCAAAACAGACGCTCAACTTGGACATGCCCAGAGTTTTCGCAGCACTGCCGCTCAGGCACTCACTTTCTTACTCTCTCCACGACCGGCATGTGTATGCCCTGAGCTGGGCTGGGGTGGACACCTCAGGACCCTATAGGAGACCAGGTCACCTCTGTCACCGGGTGTCTGACTGGACCCACACAGCTCCTTCCCTCCGCTCCAGTCCCCTGGCCTGGCCCTTCTCCTAGCAGCGCATGCCTAAGAGCCAGCAATGGCCACCAGCGCCCTCAGATGTTTGCCGTACCTCTCTGACCGTGATCATGGACCATGCTGGGAGAGGGGCTCTGAAAACGGGCTGGGATTCACAGATAGAATATTCTCAACTTTTGAAAAAATTCTGGGGTACTGGCCTTGACCAAAAATGCTGTGGGCACTACGGTGGCTCTCCAACAGAACACATGGAGTCGCATGGACTGGGCTCCGGGACCCCCTGCCTGCCGGGGTGGGACTGACCTGGGGCTCCCCTCCTCATCTGATCTTCAGATTGTGCCCCAGTGGTCCCACACGAACAGGCAGAATGTCCGAGCCCACCAGACCTGACAGAGCTCCAGAGAGCAGGGGTCACGGGCAGAGCTACATGGTTCAGCCAGCGGGCTGCAGGTGTTGGGGTTCAGTTAGCCCTATCACCAGGACCCCATCCCCTCCACTCACTCACACTGGGCCACAGGCTCAGCAGCCAGCAAAAGGGGCAGCCCTGCCAGGGTACGGATCATGGGGCTCCATCATGCTTCTGCTGATGGCACAGGCCTGGCTGGGTGGGCGGGCCAGGGCTGCACTCAGCCCTCCTTGGCGTGACCTGAGTGACGATGATGGCATTTCCCAGGACGTCCCCTGTCAACAGCCTCATGGTGGAAACCTGGCCTTGAGTTTATCTGTGACCCCACAACCCTGAGGAAATGGCAGGGGTCTCCGCATGGGGAGATGAGGGAGGAGGGGCCAGGCATGGACTAAGCGCAGGACGCCGGAGGAAAACTTAGAGAAGTGCAGGTCGCATGTGAAATTACCAGGATGGGAACTGCAGGTAACAGGAGGACACGACTCGCCTCTTCCTTTGGAAAAAGGGGTGGGGCTGTCTATATGTCTGTGTGTACGGGGTGTGTAAGTGTGGGGGGGGTATGTGTATGTGTGTCTGTTTCTGTGTGTAGGGGGTGTGTCTGTGTATCTGTGTGGGATGTGTGTGTCCTTGTGTCTGTGTGTGTTAGCCCTGACGTGTTTGTATGTCTGTCCTATGCATGCATCTCTACTTCTCACCTCAGTCCTTTGAAGCTGTGACTGCGCCCATTTCACGGCCAAGACGCCAAGGCTCCCCACCCAGGAGACACAGACTGGCCCTGGAGTCGCCTGTGACCCCCGAGGGCTTCCTGTGGTCACTGCAGTGAGGCTCACGTGCCAACCTTAGGGTCCATCTCTACTCCCAAAGCACAGATTTATTGGGAGACAAGGGATACTTACAATGAGGGGGCCCAAGGACGAGGTCACCGAGAGGCACCGGCCGGTGCCAGGGTCTCTTACTGCTCCTGTAGGGACGGCGGACAGTCCAGCCGAGGCCCAGCCTTGTGCGTCCGCTGGTGGCGGCTGAGTCCTGAGCAGCAGGTGAAGGCCCTGGGACAGAGGGGACACTGGTAGGGCCGCTCCTGTGTGTGTGTCCTCTGGTGCTGGCTGAGATGGGCGTGCAGGGCGAAGGCTCTGCCACACTCGGCGCAGGAGTGCGGCTTCTCCCCGCTGTGCGTCCGTGCATGCTGCCCCAGCTGCGCCTTCTGAGCGAAGGCCTTCCCACACTGCTCACACGTGAAGGGCTTCTCCCCAGTGTGCACGCGCTGGTGGATGGTGAGGCACGAGCTCTGGCTGAAGGCCTTCCCACATCGCGGGCACATGTATGGCTTCTCCCCAGTGTGGACCCTCTCGTGCCGGAGCAGCTGGGCGCGCTGGGCAAAGGCCTTGCTGCAGATAGCACACACGTGTGCTTTCTCCCCGCTGTGGACGTTCCTCCGGTGCTTGGCGAGGCTGGCGCTCCGGTCAAACGTCTTCCCGCACTCGTGGCACTCCACTGGCCGCTGCCCAGCGTGCGTCCCCTGGTGCCGGGCCAGGTAGCGCCGGTGCGTGAAGACTCGGTCACAATGGTCGCAGGGCCAAGCCCTCTTGCAGAGGTGCTCTGACTGGTGGCCCGCAGTGCCCTGGCTAAAGGTGGCATCGCTGCTCTCTGTGCTCTGCGAGGGACGCTCAGTCAACAGCCAGGGCTGCTGCTCCAGGCTGGAGGCCCCATGGGGCATGGTACTCCCTGGTTCGCTGCCCTTCGGCCCCGAGTGAGAGCTCTGGTGGCGGGCCAGCTGTGCCCTGTGGCCAAAGGCTTTCCCACACGGAGCGCACACGAAGGGCTTCACAGTGGCATGGGTCCTTTTGTGCTGGGTCAGATACTTGCTGCGGCCAAAGTCTTTGTCACACTTGTCACACTTGAAGTGCTTCACAGCCAGACACCGGGGCTCCCTGGGGACCGCTCTCTCGCTGGTGTGGGCCTGAAGGTGGCAGCTCAGGGTGGAGCTGCAGACGAAGCGCTCCCCACATTGCTGACACATGTTGCGGGCCTCTGCGCTGTGGGCCACCTGGTGTTGTGCCAGCAGCTCTTGGTGGCTGAAGGTGGCTGGGCACCGTGGGCAGTGGTAGGGTGCCTCACCCACATGCGTGGACAGGTGGTGCTGCAGGTGGGAAGGCCGGTTGAAGGTCTTCATGCAATGGCGACACTGGTAGGGTCGGTAGCCTGTGTGGACGCGCTGATGTTCACAGAGGTGGGTGCTGCGACTGAAGGTCTTCCCGCACTCCTTACAGGCAAACTGCTTCCCGAAGCTGTGTACCTGCTGGTGGATCTGCAGGGTGGCCATGTGGCTGAAGGCTTTGTTGCACTCGGTGCATCTGTAAGGCTTCTCTCCAGTGTGAATGGCTTGGTGTGTCACGAGCAACACGCTCCGTCTGAAGGTCTTCCCACACTGTTGGCACGTGGCTGCAGCCACGGCCTTGGCCTTGGTGGCCACGTGCATCCTCTGATGCCGAGTGAAGAGCTTGCTCAGGCTGAAGATCTCCGGGCACTCGGAGCACTGGTAGCATTTACGGACATGGGTCCTGCGGTCCTGAGAGACAACGAGGGGCTGGCTGCAGCTGTGGGCCGTGGGCTGTGTGTCAGGGCCTGTGAGGCCGTCAGCCTGCTGGCTTGGGCTTGTCTCATCCTGTGCCTGGGTCACATGGTGCCGAACGAGGGGCTGGCTGCAGCTGTGGACCATGGGCTGTGAGTCAGGACCCGTGGGGCTGTTGGCCTCCCGGCTAGAGCTAAAGTCCTGGGTGTGGGTCCCGTGGTGCTGAGTGATAAGGAGGAGCTGGCTGCAGCTGTGGGCCATGGGCTGTGTGTCAGGGCCTGTAGGGCTGTTGGTCTCCCAGATGAGGCTCGGCTCATCCCAGGCATGGGGTTGCTGGTGCCACAGCAGCTGTGTATCTTGACTGAAAGTCCCTTCGTGCTTGTCATACATGTAGGGCGCAGAAGGAGCAGACTGCACAGCCAGGCCCAGAGTCTGGAGGAACACTCTCCCGTAGGGGTCCTCGCACGGCCTTGGGAGCTCGGCCTGGGCGTGGGCAGCCCAGTGCTGGATCAGACAGTAGGTGTCGCTGAAGCACGCACCACACTCGCTGCATTTGAAGGGCTGCTCCTCGCCACACACGCCATCTGGCTGCCTCTGGCCTAACTCGCTGTGGCACCCCTGGGACAGGGCTGGCATGAGGCTCCCCGCAGGTGGCTCCTGCTCCACAGAGGCCCCCGTGGTGGGTGGCAGGGAGCAGGGAGTAGGGCCTTGCTTGAGTTCCTGAACCAGGCGCTCCACTGGGTCATCTGTCCGGGGGACATGCGTGCTTGGAGGACTTCTGGGATGGCTCAGGGGGCTTCCAGAATCTCTCGGAGGACTTCTGGGATCTCTTAGAGGACTTCTGCTATCGCTACAAGGACTTCCGGGAGCACTGGAAGGACTTCCGGGATCACTCAGAGGACTTCCGGGATCAATTGGAGGACTTCTGGAATCATCTAACAATCCATCTAACCAGCTCTGGCTTAACCATGTGTCTCCAAAACTGAAGCTTCCCATGTCATCCTTGACAAGAGCCTCCAGAAGCTCCAGGGAGAATCCCTCTTCCAAGGCCTGTGACAGGGGGGAGTTCTTGCCACTTGTGCCTGAAAGACAAAAGAGACATGCAAGTGCCGCCCGTTCTCCAGCTGCAGGGTGACAACTCTGGGCACCGCATGGGCAGGCCTTGAGGCTTGTCCTACGGAGCCAGGGCACAGCCTGAGCCTCTGTGGTCTCCGGCCCAGGGGCCCCTGTTTTGTGTTAATCCAGTAATGCTGAAATGCCTGCTATGCCTGGGCCAAGGCTGGCCTCCGCTCTCTTCCACTCCCCTACCAGCACCCCGATGTACTTGGGGGCCAGGCCTGGAGATGCTCGGGGCCTGGAGACAACAGAGGGTAAAGGGTCGCCTGCGGTGCCGTCTGTGGAGAGGCCATGTGGATGCAGACACAGCCTGAACTGAAGGTCCACCCATATGTTATGGTCACCAGGGCAGAGGGAGAAGGCCAGCGAGGCCCAGAGGCATCTGGGTGTCTGTGTCAACCCCCAGGGATCATCCACAGTTTCTGTGGGAGATCTGAGGAGAAGGGGACTGAGGGCCACTCACCGGGGCCCATTGTTTCCGGGCTGCTTCTGGCCTGGGCTTCCAGCTTTTCCACATCATCAGGACACTGACAGGAGAGCTGGGCGGATCTCAGGGGGTCTGTCGGGGAAAGAATAACCCTGTTGGGAATGCGGAAGTAGGAGTCTGGCAGACATCCCAGTGAGGCAGCCAACAGCTACCCTTGCCGGCGTGGAACTGCCCTCCCCAGAGATTCCCAGTCGGGTAGGGAATGGGACCCAGATGGTCCCCAGCCGGAGCAAGCAATCCTGCTGTTTTGGGGTGGCTCTTGAGGGACAAGCAGAGTTGGTCAGCTTTTGAGGCACACACACTTCCTCCTCTGCAAAGGTGAAGGACCCCATTACCCAGGCCTTGTGGTGGGGTGCAGGTCCTGAGATGGACAAGGCCAACCTGCCTTCGACAAGCTACCCAGTGGAAAAGCGCAGGGTCAGGATCTAGGGGGACAAGTGTGGCAGCAGAGGAAAAGCCGTCCCTAACTTTCAGAAGGAAGTGAGACTAGGAGCCAAGCAGCATGGACGCCTCTGGGAGCTGAGAAGGGGCTCAGAGAGAGGGTCCACGGAGCCTGCCGCTGCCGAATGGTAGCCCCGGCAGAGCCAGCCAAACCTGACCCTCAGGACGGCCGAGACAGCTACACGTGTATTAGTGGCAGCAGGCTTGGGGACCCCACGCACTACCACACTCACAGACCTCAGCAGGGGCTTACTGGGCAGGTGGGCTCAGAAACAAAACGACAGGAAGACCTGCGACTGCTGCTGGCATAGCACTCATGGCCGTGCAACTAAATTCCCTCACAGGAGCGTTCCCACAGCCAGGAGCTCCCATAATCCCTGCTTCTCAGAGCCCAAAGAATGCAGTACCCCAAGAATGGGCACTGGGGGTATGTGGAGGAGGAGCTGGCTGTGATGGGATGCTGAGGTCACTGGAGCCACATAGACCCACTGGCCCATGACCGTGCTGCATGTGGGAGGGACCAGCAGGCTCTGCTGCTCTCCTGGGAAAGTCCTGCTGGCCATGTTACGTTTTGAAGGGCCCCGGCACTCCCCAAAACTGGTGAGGCAGCCCTGGGCCTAGCCTATTTGGCACTTGTGGTCTACTCTAAACCCCACTTCCAGCAAGCTGGGACTCTGTCAGGTACCAGGTAAAGGGTGCCTGCGTAACCAGCACTCATCATCAGCCCGACCCCAAGTCTCCGATGAGCTTCCCACAACGGCGTCTCACACCTCCTGGCTGTGGGAATCTATGTTGCATGTGATTCTTCTGTGAGAACATTCTGGAAGCCTGCTGGGCCTCAATGTGTGCCCTCCCTTTCCTAACTGTGCTCTGTGTCTTTACGGCAGTGAAGTCACCGCTGTGAGTCTCCTAAGAATCACAGAAGCTGGAGGGTGACCCTGGGGACCTCAACAAGGCAGGGAAAGCGCCTGCCCCTCTTCACACCCGTCCAGGGCACCAGGCAGAACCGCGGGCTCAACGACTGGGGAGGGACTGGGGCATAAGACAGGGCCTAGCTCCCAACATGGTATCCAGTTATTTATTCAGTAACGAGTCCCTAAGCCTAAGGCAAGTACAAAAACTGTGGGGTGCCCATGACAAAGCTCCTGACTGCACCTCGCCCCTGTTGCAAATGAGGAGGAAGCACTGAGGACACACGGTGACAAGAGGAACAGGACAGCAAGACAAGGAACTCCAGGGGTCATGGCTTAGTCTTCAGAAGTGGAACCCCAAGAGCCATCTGGGCAGGGAGGAGGGCCTGAACAATGGAGAGCAGGTGGGCAGAAGCGGGAGACAGTTGGCAGATGGGGGCCACCCCAGGGCATCCTCCACGCCCAGCATGGCCATCAGAGCTGGACACTGTCAGGATGCCCCAAGTTGTCCTGATGGTCAGGCCATCAGGAGCCGGGAGGTTCACTCTTACAGTATCAGGGCACAAGGGAGCCTGGGGACAGGCCACTCACTCAGCAGAAAGAGGTCTCGGTAATTGTCCAGCAGCGTGTCCCAGAACAGGTCTCCTGGGTCCAGCCCCAGCTGCTCCCAATTTTCCAAGGTGAAGTCCATGGCTACACAGCTGTAAGGCTCGCAGACAACTAAAATGCAAATGCCGGGGGTCACTCCAATTGGGCAGGGGTGTCCCCTCTCCCCAGCCCTCAGCACATGGAACCTGTGGCAACATCTCTGCCTTGCCAACCTCATAAGAACCTCCAAGTTGAGCCAAGCACAATAGTTCACTGGCTGAAATCCTCACCTTGCATAAGCCAAGATCCCATATGGCCACTGGTTCATCTCTTGGCTGCTCTACTTCCCATCCAGCTCCCTGCCCGTGGCCTGGGAAAGCAGTCGAGAACGGCCCAAAGCCTTGGGACCCTCTACCTGCGTGGGAGACACAGAAGGAGCTCCTGGCTCCTGGCTTTGAATTGGTTCAACTCAAGCCACTGCAGGCACTTGCGGGGAGAACCAGCAGAATGAAGATCTTTCTGTCTCTTTTCCCCATGTATCTGCCTTTTCAATCAAAATAAATAAATCCTAAAAAAAAAAAAAAAGACGAAGAAGTTCCATGTTGCACAGGCAAGATCAAATTAACAGGCATGACATCACACAGATTTTTAAAAAAATATTTTGCTATTTTTTTTTTTTTTTTAATTGGAAAGTCAGATATACACAGAGGAGGAGAGACAGAAAGGAAAATATTCCAATCACTGGTTCACTCCCCAAGTGGCCGCACTGGCTGGAGCTGAGCCAATCAGAATGCAGGAGACAGGAGCTTCTTCCCACGCGGGTGCTGGGTCCCAAGGCTCTGGGCCGTCCTCCACTGCTTTCCCAGGCCACAGGCAGGGAGCTGGATGGGAAGTGGAGCAACCGGGACACCTAGTGGCGCCCACATGGGACCCTGGCACATGCGAGGTGAGGACTTCAGGTGCTAGACTACTGTGCTGGGCCGCACACAGGCAGATCTTACACTCAAGTAAACCATTTCTTTCTTGTTTTGTTGTTGTTTTGTCTTTTAATGGTTAGTGTACACTCACAAGTTTTTAACAAAACTTTCTAAAGATTTATTTTAATTGGACAGTCAGACATACAGAGAGGAGGGGAGACAGAGAGGAAGATCTCTGTCCATTGATTCACTTCCCAAATGGCCACAACAGCCAGAGCTACAACAATCCGAAGCCAGGAGCCTGAAGCCTCCTCTGGGTCTCCCACTCAGGTGCAGGGTCCCAAGGCTTTGGGCCATCCTCCACTGCTTTCCCAGGCCACAAGCAGAGAGCTGGATAGGAAGCAGGGCCACCAGGATTGGAACTGGCACCCATATGGGATCCTGGCACGTTCAAGACAAGGACTTTAGCTGCTGGGCTACCACACTGGGCCCACATTCAAGATTGATTGATTGATTATTTATTTATTTATTTATTACCTGAAAGTCAGTTAGGTGGTCTTTCATCTGCTGGTTCACTCCCCAAATGGCCACAATAATCAGAGGTGAACTGATCTGAAGTCAGGAACCAGCAGCTTCTGGGATTTTGATGTGAGTGCAGGGTCCCAAGGCTTTGGCCACCCCCTACTTCTTTTACAGCCAGTGCGCATGTTTGTATTGCAAGTGAAATACTGGCATGTATATGGGATGCCAGCACCACAGAGTAGAAGATTAGCCAGTTGAGCCACAGTACTGGCCCTTTTATGTTTCTTTACAGTTTTGTTGTTTGTTTTTTAAGATTTATTTTGGGTCCAGCGCTGCAGCCTAGTGCCTAAAGTCCTTGCCTTGCATGCACCAGGAATCCAAACAGGTGCCAGTTCATACCCAGGCTGCTCCACTTCCCTTCCAGCTCCCTGTCCTGTGGCCTGGGAAAGCAGTCGAGGATGGCCCAAAACCTTTGGACCCTGTATCCATGTGGGAGACCCGGAAGAGGCTCCTGGCTCCTGACTTCGGATCAGCTCAGCTCCAGACTTTGCAGCCACTTGGGGGGTGAGCCAGTAGATGGAAGATCTTTCTCTCGGATCACCCAGCCACTGGTTCACTCTGCAAATGGCCACAATCACCAGACCCGAGCTCACCTGAAGTCAGAAGCCAGGAACTTATTTGAGTCTCCCACGCGAATACAGGTTCCCAAGGCTTTGGGCCGTCCTCGACTGCTTTCCCAGGTCACAGCCATGGAGCACGATGGGAAATGCAGCAGCTGGGACATGAACTTGTGCCTATATGGGATTCTAGTGCTTGTGAAGTGAGAATTAGCCAATTGAGCTATTGTGGCAGGCCCTCTTTATAATACATACATATTTCATTGGAAAGGCCGAGTTGCAGAAAGGAGAGACAGCTCTTCAGTCCTCTGGTTCAGTCCTCAGTGGCCGCAATGGCCACAACTGAGCTGTTATGAAGCCAGGAGCCAGGAGCCTCTTATGGGTCTCCCACATGGATGCAGGGTCTCCAGGCTTTGGGCCGTCCTCTACTGCTTTCCCAGGCCACAAGCAGGGAGCTGGATGGGAAGCAGGGCTGCTGGAACACAAACTAGCTCCCGTATGGGATCCTGGTGTGTGCAAGGTAAGGACTTTAGCCACTAGGCTACTATGCCAGGCCCCTCTTCATGAAAGTATAGATCCTCTTTGCACTTCAAAGAAACAGATAAGATGACTTTCTGACGGAAGAGGCGGTGCAGCAGGGATGTTTATTTAGCACCATCAGCACCACACTAGAACACTTGGTGATCATCGCAGAGGCCTTCACTATCTGACAGGGAGGCCTGTGCTGTCAGCAGGTGTCAGTCCATGCCTCATGTCACGGTGAAAGGATTTTTTATTTTTTAGGTTATTTCTTTTATTTATTTATTTTTATTGCAAAGTCAGGTACACATAGAGGAGGAGAGACAGAGAGGAAGATCTTCTGTCTGATGATCCACTCCCCAAGTAGCCACAATGGCCGGTGCTGCGCCAATCTGAAGCCAGGAGCCCAGTGCCTCTTCTGGATTTCCTACATGTGGGTGTAGGGTCCCAAGGCTTTGGGCCATCCTCAACTGCTTTCCCAGGCCACAAACAGGGAGCTGGATGGGAAGTGGGGCCACCGGGATTAGAACGGGTGACCATGAGATTCTGGCATATGCAGGCAAAGGGCTTTAGCTACTAGGCTACTGTGCTAGGCAAACTGTGACAGGATTTTTAAAAACCTGTGCAGACTAAACAATGTCTCCTCCAGTGGCTGCTGCTGCATGGGAAAGAAGAGTCCTGGGGGGGGGGGAAGTTGAGTCGGGGAGAGGGCAAGAATGGCATGGAGCAACTGGCAGATGCATGTGGGGCTTCCCAGGGCAGATGAGCTGGATTGTTTGGGACATGTGGTGTGGGAGAACTGCTTCCCACACTGTCATGTGCTGTGTGTGCCCCAGCCCTATAGCCAGTCACACCATACTTGCCAGAGCCCCCCAGAATAACTTCACTGTGGAAAGAGGGCTTGGTAGGCGTGGCCAAGCATCCCGGGACAGGGAGAGGCCCCTGGCGCTCTAACCATTATTCCAAGCGTCCTCCCACGAGGAGGACGACGCAAACAGAGGCAGGCGCAGGCAGGAAGTCGGAAGCCCCAGCTTCTCCGGCCTCCAGGGTTGCGAGACAGCAAGCACATGTGCCCTTAAGCCAGTGTGTTTGTGGGGTGTCACTGTCACAGCATTGAGACACTCCAGCAGGGATGCCCAGCGGAGAGGGAGGGTTTGGTGAGAGGGGCGTGCCGTCACCTCTGCTCCATCAGCCCCCTCACACTCTCACAGCACCTTCTGCCCCTTGGTCCTCACCTCCTGCTCTCTCGGAGCCACATGGGCTGCCTGCTGCCCGCCTGGGCTGGAGTCGCCTCTGTGTGCGGCTCAGTGGCCAGGGCCTCTGCTCTGCAAGGCTCCAGCCCCAGCCTTCACTGCCCCCATCCCTGCTTTCTTCTCGCCAGTTCTTCCTGGTTTCTCTTGACTTGAGAGGCACAGAGATAGGGGGAGAGAGCTGCCACCCTAGTTCACTCCCCAGCTGTCCACAGTGGCCAGGGCAGGGCCTGGCTGGAGCCAGGAGCCAGATCCGGGAACTGGCCCAGGTAGTCGGGTACGTGGTGTCCTAACCACTGGGCCACATGCTTGCTCCATCCAGTTTTTCTTCAAGATTTACTTACTTGAAAGGAAAAGTTAACAAGGAGGTACGCAGACGGAGACAGACCACCTACCTGCCTGTCAGCTCACTGCCCTGAGGGCTGCAGTAACTGAGGGTGGTTCAGGCGGAAGCAGAATGCCTGCACTGGCTTCAGGTCTCCTGCGTGAGTGGCCGAGGCCCAAGCCCTTGGCACCTTCCCGTTGCCTTCCTGGGCACGTTGTACGGCAAGCAGAGTAGCACAGGATGGTAACCTCCCTGCAAGCAGCAGCCGCACAGCACTCCCCCAGCTGCTGACAGGGCTGCACCCTGGGCCATGTGCTTGCACACTCTACTTCCTGGGCCGAACTGTCACCTTCCTCCCCTCCTCCCACCAAAACATATGAAAGCCCAACTCCCAGAGCAGCTGGATGGGACTTTATTTGGAAAAGGCCTTCACACAGCTAATCAGGGTAAGACAAGCTCACTAGGGTGAGCCCTCCCCCCGGATGACCGGTGTCCTTACAAGCGGACAGCTGGACACTGACACGTGCTGAGGGAAGACGGAGTGAGGACACGGGAGGGCAGCCATGGAGGGGTGAGGCAGAGGCTGGGGCTGTGTGTCTGCAGAGAACACAGATCCCCAGCCAAGCAGACAGGAGCCTGGGTGCCTCACCCTGCTGACTTGCAGGAGCCAGCCCACTGGCTGCCCGGCATACACACACCCCATCACATCCTGAGATGGCCGCCACCAAAGGGGCTGGTGGGTTGGGGCGACCCTCCCTCTGGCAGAGCACGCTCCACCCCTCGGCATGCGTCTGCAGAAGGCAGCTGAACTAGGGTGCCTGATCCTGGGGGCCTCCCGACTACGCTGCACATGGCCCCAGCGAGGCGCAGGGGAGGGGCAGGAAGTGGGGAGCTGGGACTGGTCCCTGGGGAATGGTGGGGCAGGGGTGGCTCACAGAAAGGATGGGGTGAGC